AGAATCGAATTCTCCAGTGTTTGAATAGTTTTACTGTTATAAGTTTTATTTACCTAATAAGAAAAATCAATTAATAATCGTTATATTGAAAAATCCGTTAGAATCCCTATTACTTCAAAATATCGTAATCGTTATACTCAAATTATTAATTAAGTGCCCCTTTATTAATTACATCAGTGACGTCGCTAAATTGATGCGATTAATTAAATCTATTACATAAGTGCGACGATCCCTTAAATTGATCAATAACCCGATCCTGCTTAAATTAGTTAACCGATCCTTATTAAATTACCGATCCACGTGAACAAGCCACCCTACCGACAGCACTATATTACCCTAGTCGTAATAACTTTTTATTTCAGTTCACTATTGGAGTTAAATTGGACGAAATAATCGTTATAGCTCTCCCAAACAATAGTAACAGTATTTTTATTGTTTCCACTGTTTCCTCGGAACCATTATTCGATCTGATGGATATATGCATGCCTTTATTTAAGATTGCATGTTCATTATTAAAAACATTTTCGTCGAGTTCGTTTAAATCAACAGTCGTGTGGTCTATTAGATGTGTATTACTTTCAGAATCACTTTGATTACCTTAATAAACTGCAAATGACCAAATTATTAAATATCCTACCAAGATTATCACTGTTTGATTCATCTTGATTATCTAAACAAAACATATATGTTGAATAAAATGAAAATAATAATGTATAAAATTAGGTTCTAATGACATTTTCAGTTACCTTTATTATCCACATTTATATTTTCAGTTATATTATTAAAGGAATCTAATCGTTCACGGGTGGTATTATTTTTGAATGTGCGTCATTGTTGGATTCAATTTCATTATCCAAATTTTCGAAAATTACAGATAATAAGTAAAACCAATAATTAATGCGTGAATATTCAACCAATATTGCATTTATTTAATAAATACAAACCTAGTAATATTTGTGACTCACAAGTATCGTCACTGGATTCTAGATTTAATATTCATATTATTAGAAGCATAATCTAATAAAAACATATAAAATGCCCATAATAATTTTATTTTCTATATGGAATGCATTGATTACCTTCATTACAATTAAAGAAATCGAATGAATCTTCATTGTTTAACACCGATTGCAAAATTTGTTGGTTGTTCTTGACATTTTTATTTGTCATATATTCAATAGTTGTCTCTTTTGATAAATTTTCAAGTTTTCTTAAAATTTGATCCAGTGTTGGACGTTGGCTCGGATCAAAAGACCAAGATTTCTCAATGAGATAGGCGTATTCTGATGGTGTATTGGCAATAATTTTTTCTCTTTCGTTCTGTGAAATTTTTATTATTATAGCTGCACTGTGAAGACCATGAAATGGAGGAACTCCACTTGTAAGTTCCCATAGCAATACTCCCAGACTATAAATGTCAGACATAACATCACGTTTAGCTCTATATTGGAGGTACTGTGGATCAGTATATGCTGCCATGCCTGTTGTATTTGAACTAGATTCGGTAGTATCATTTAATTGTTTTGATATCCCAAAATCTGCGATTAATGCATTTCCATTGTTTATTAAAATATTCTTGGAATGCTAGAGAAATTAAGACCTATAATTAAGATTACATTTAAATTGGTATCGAAATTTAACATAAAAATAAAACTTACTAGGTCACGGTGCACAATGTGATTAGTATGCAAATATTTCAATCCAAGAGTAATCTCCGTTGCAATTTGGATGAGTTCAATCCATGAAATTTTATAAACATTATCTTGTTGTTTTTTTTGTAAATGATCACGTAAATTTCCTCCGTTTACAAACTGTAATACCAGCATATAATTATCGCTCAATGTGTCTAAATTATTCAACAAATATATAATTACAATTCGATATGTAGATACACAATAAAAATTTATTTTAGATTTTCATCGTATAAGTACCTATTGAAATTCCATAAAATTTAATAATATTTGGATGACAAACTTTATACAAGCTTTTAAGCTGCGCATGTTTCATTATACAAAATTGTTGGTTTTGATATTAAAAAAAAAAAAAAAAATCAAAATGAATAATTCATTACCTCACGCTTGATTTGTTTGACTCTTCTTTCATCCAACCACAGGTTATTGTTTAGACTCTTCAGAACATATTTCTTTCCTTGAAAATTGGTCGAGTATACGATTGCAGATCCTCCTCGTCCAATGATTTTTGTTTCGTTAAATTGTGAGTAATTAAAGCTTTTTATACTGTTACTTTTCAGATGCGCTTCTAATTCTGAATAGCCAACCACCAAATATTTTATGAACATTCATTGTAACATATTGATTAAGCTTTTAAATCATAGTTAATAAGGTAGCTTACGTGCTTTCACCAGCATTTTGTTTTATATAATCAAGAAACCTTCAAATAGTTTATATAGAGTGAATAGAGCGGAAGTTTAATGGTAACTCCGAAATTCTTTATTTAGACGGCAGTTACATTACGTATATTACGTATATATGCATTAGAACGCCTCTATGCATTTTTTGCCATCCTATTAACAGGAGGAACTGTCGATGTTACACTACTGATTCTTCACCCGGTGTGCAACATATAAAAAATCATTTTACAATACCAGATCATTCCGCTAGTACATGTTATGA